TTAATTGCAGGGCCAGACTTTAGCACGAATTTTGGGTCTTTCTTGGGCCAATGTGGGGCTCATTTTTGATCTGGAAAGTCTCAACAATTTAACCCAACAATACAATATTAATTCCAAACAATGTTGAAGCTTATCAGTTACTATTCACTGGTAACTTTTAATAATTTTTCTAGACCTCCAAAATCACATTTTCTCCATTAAAAATTCTATTTTAATATAAGAATATGATATAAAAATTTTTAGAATTTTTCTCCACCTCTAACTATTTATTTTAAATTTTTCTCGAATAGGGCCTTATTGGTGATACTTTAGAAAATAAATTCCCAAAAATAAGTTTCTATACTTCCAGGGCCTAAAATTAGTTTTATAAATTTCAATAAATATTTAGATAATTATTTCATATTTTTTCAGAATTATTGAGGCTTCTAACTATTTAAAATAATTATTTTTACTCAATTTTTACTATTTTTCCTGAAAAACCTTCGTTTTCAGGAAATTTGGTAATAATCTATTTTCACATCATTTTCACCTTTAGAGCGTCTATCAAGGTTTTAAAACCTCTAATTTGCCCTTTTACCATTTTTTGAGAATTTTCTAGAATTTTTTCTAAAATTTTTCATTTTGCCCTTTTTAGACCGATAATTCTAAAATTATCAGTCCAGACCCTATCGAGGTTTCACATTAAAAGTTGTTTTGTCCTTCCATCTACTTCCTATATCGTCCCACAACCGAATTTTTAACTTTCCACTTCAAGGTTAAATTTTTGGCAATGTGACATATCCCATAGGAATAACACACTATACTAAAGTCTGAGTTGTTTTGGTGGCTTATTACTCATAGAAAAAATACGAAGTCAGGCGTTGTTGTGAAACTAATTTAACGTATAAAGATACAAATAAAAAAAAAAGCAATGACATAGCAATTGTTATATTTCTATTTATATGTAATTTAAGCTACTTTAGAATATATTCAAATTTGTGTACAAAGAATTTATACAATTTAATTTCCGTTTCAGAGAATATATATTATAAGTATGTTTCATGTCAATTAATTCTAATTTTTTGCTTACCCCAACTAGTTTATAAGTATGTGATGTACTACTAACAAATAAAATTAAGGAATTTGCAATAAGGATATACTGCTTAACAACTTCATGTTTTGAAAATGTAGCTGTCATATTAACAACTGGAATTAGAAAATTTACAAGAAAGATACATATATTAACAACAAGAACACGTCCGTTTGCAAGTGAACTAGTTAAATTGAAGAATATGAACATGATAATTCACAAGTCTAGGAGAGACTATTTACAAGTAGAATTAGGAAATTTGTAACATGGATACACTCATTGACAATAGAAATACGTCTATTTGCACATGAATTTATTTAATTCATGAACACCAATTCACAAGTCTAAGAGTGATAGTTCACAAATAGAATTAGAAAATTTGCGACACGACTACATCCATTAACAACATAAATACATCTATTTGCAAGTGGATTTATTTCATTCATAGAGTTGAACAGAACAATTTACAAGTCTAGGAGTGACAGTTCACAAGTAGGATTAGGATATTTGCAACATAGATACGCCCATTAACAACATAAATACATCCATTTGCAAGTGGATTTATTTCATTTATAAAGTTAAACAGAACAATGCCCAAATCTAGGAGTGACAGTTCAAAAGTAGAATTAGGATATTTGTAATACGGACTCATTCATTAACAATATAAATTTGTTCTGCATTTACATAGTGGCCAACCAATTTCAATGTAGTACTTCATGTATCATTTTGCTTTCAAAAGTATTCACAGGTTCGCCTCCCATATAAAAGATGCAAAATAATTGCTTTCCACTGTCGCTAGCCATATGTAATAAGTTGCTGCACATCATTCAAGTATTAATTTCGATCAATTTTCAATAACTAAGCACAATATATGTTTACAACAGGAATTTATAAATTTATAACAAAAATACGAGTTTTCACAACACCAAATCACTATTTTCCTGGAGATGTGGAATTTGCAAATTCACAATACAATTTATGATAGGAACTTAAAGGCTTATTCTCAACACACAATGGTGTGAATCTAAAATCAATCCACTGTATAATTTTATCTCAAATCTGTAGCAAAAAAATTTCTTGCTGGTTCAAAACTTCATGATAGCCCAAGTCAAACCCATAAAATCTAGAATAAAAGAAATGGATAAGGATTTTGCAGTACTATATGCAAAAAATTTTGAATGGAAAGGTAGTGAAAGAGATTGTGTACACAAAGGGGGAGAGAGAGAGACTATGGCGACAATGAAGGCTCTTGTTACCATAATAGCATGGACGGCGAAGGCACTCCATACTAGAATAGTCGTGATGGCAAAGGCTCTCCTTACTAAAATAATGACGACGATGAATGATCTCTCTCAACGTAACAGTAGATTCTTCAGAGAGTGAGAGCAAGAAAAGTTTGAGTTATCAACAGTTTTAAGAGAGAGGGGTAAGAGCTTTAGGGCCATAGTTTTGAGGGGTAATAATATCTTTTCCCTCCATAAATTAATTTCAATTTGCTCCTTTAGTCATACAGTAACATTTCAGAATGTTTTGGGGGATATTTGAAATAAATTGTCTAGCGATTCCAACTAATAGTAGCCAATAGGGGTGGCAGCTAGGGACATGTAAAGATGGCTTTTAACAGGACAAAAATGTGGCTTTGAGAAAAAATGAGGGCAATATTATAAAATAACCCACATTCAATACGTTGAAATATTTTAAGACTTCCTCATATTTTAATGGGATTTCCCAAATTTATGGTCATTATGTTGAAATAATATGAGTTATGACGTTAAAAGAAACACAACAACTGCTTTTTGTCCAACAAAATCCTCCCTCACTTTTACAATCTACCTTTGAATCTAGGGAAAATTGCCAAAAAAAAAAAAAAGCTGAAATAGAAAAATAAAAATCAGGACCCGTTACAACGTTAGTATAGGTTTTGACAATAATAATATGTGTTTTGACAACAATTTTTGTAAAGGAGTCCTTGTTTGTAATTTTTCAATTTTGGTAATATTTTTTTGTGATTTTTCCTTAAATCTAATTCTTCCACTACACGTACGTCTAAATTTGGATTTTCAAATTCACAAAAGTGCGGGTATAAATATATGATAATGAATAGATAAAAATTAAAAATACATCTTTGAATTATAATTTTACATAAGATTTTAGTTTAATTTCTTAACTTTATAATTTTTTTTTTAATTCCTCTAACCCAACACTGTTAATATCAAACAATTTTTTTTTTAACAATTATTGATTTTTTAATATATGAGCATTTGAAAATTTTTTATTTATTATTTTTTCCTCCAAAATTATCCTTCTAGTAGTTACCCTTACACGTAAAATATTTCATAAAATGTTAAAACTAATACATTTGATTAACACGGATATTTTAAGAAAGATAACAACTATTTATTACAAATTACTGACTTAACAAATTTTATTAATCTACTCAAATCAATTAATTAACTCTTATATTAAAAACCGTAGATAGTATAAAAGATATGATAGTAACTCTAGGTTGGGGCGGATAGTAACCAAAGAAATATTAAAAAGAGAGAAATCACGTATAAAAAAAAATTGTCGATTATTCCTGCTCTAAATACAGGAATTAGTTAAATGACTTATTTTGTTATTAAATAAAAGATATTAATTTACTTTTCCTTCCTAATTTATAAATTTTTTTCCAACTATGGGAATTAAGGGACCACTTGTTCTGAACTGAATGAAAGTGGTCATAAAAATTCTTGAAACTATGGCCGGCCTTGAGCATCCCCATTGATCTTTGAAGATTTGGAGACCAAGGGGCAGTTAATTTCTTTTATTAAGGGTCAAAAACGGATTGGGAATTATTTTCAAAAACTCAACACATATTTTTTTTGTAAATAATTAACTTAATCAATATCATTAATTTTCATAAATTATTTTTTTTAAAGAAAAGACAATGATATTACATGAAAGTTATTACTTCTGGTATTTAATATAAAAAGTAATTGACTAATTTGAGTAAATTAAAAAAATTTGTTAAGTTAGTTATTTATAAAAAAATAGGTGTTTTTTCTAAAATATCTTTATTAATTATGTGTATTAGTAATGGTATTTTAACATATATAACTGTTATAAACACTATCTTAAAAAAAATAAATATAAAAAACAAAATAAATTAGGATTTTATATTTAAGATTTTAATTAAAAGAAAACCTAATTTTTATATCAAAGGCAGTAGATATTACTGCAAACAGGCGGAAAGATAAATCTAGTTCTAATCGTATTAGGAATACTAGATTCTCCTCCCACCTCAATATTCACATAAAGGAAAGATATTATTAGATTTAGAATTAAAACTTGCCAAGTTAGACAAGTCTCTTTCGGATGCAAATTACGACTTTCGAGAGCCGTGAGGAGATTCTCTCGCGTTCTGTGGTTGGTTTTCAATCACGCGCGCCTGATCTAATCGGATAATTTACATAACGTGTTATAAAACTTAAAAAAAATTAGAGAATAAAAGAAGTGAATAATGAAAAACGGAAGGGAGAAGTAATTTTTGTTCCATTGAAAAGTACTAAATATATAATATATGGTCTCTGTTTATAAGTATAGTTTTAATTTTTGACAAAATCTGTAAGTTACATTACATAATAATAACAATAAAAGATAATTATAAAATATAAAATATTAAAAATAATAAAAAATATTAAAGATAATAAGAGATATTAAAAATAAGAAGAATCCACAAAAATATTATTATATTCATAAAACAAATAACATCTCTTCTCTTTTTGAATGTAAAAAGGACTGAACCTTTTCTGTTCATTTTGTGAAAACCCAAAAAAAAAGAAAAAAGACTAAACTTTCTCTGCTAATTTCAATTTTAAATATGGGGGTCAGAAGCCAGGGAAACACAAGCAAATGACCGGTACGCGTCAAAATTCTGTTGTTCACACCTTGTTGTTTAGAAGACTAGGATCGATCAATATGAGAAGATTCAATGGTTTCACTGTATGTAGAAAAATTGGTTCAGCCGTCAAGTCTTTGGCGAAAGTCCCTGCGAACTTCCAAAATTTTTCTGTTTTATTATTATTATTATAAGAAGATTGCCAGCACTGCTTGCAGTGTTTCATGACCAAACCCATTTTCTTTCTATATTTCTGATAATCATCATGCTTTTCGTGGGATTCAGTGAAAATACTTGCTTGTTACTTGCTTTTCTCATCTATTCGTTCACTTTTACTCTTATGGTTAGTGGCTTGGATACCGTCGCACCATCTGTGTTGATCCAAGAACCTGAAACGGTGAGCTCAAATAATGGCATGTTCACTCTGGGATTTTTCAGACCTCAGAATTCCACAAGATGCTATTTAGGAATTTGGTTTATGTCTGAATCCTTTGTTGTTTGGGTGGCTAACGAAAACGATCCACTAACAGATTCTTCTGGGATTCTGACAATATCAGGGAATGGCAATCTTGTTGTTTTGAATGGGCAAAAACAGGTTGTTTGGTCAACAAATGTCTCAACGGCATCAAATTCTAGTGCTCAACTCTTAGATTCTGGCAATCTTGTCCTCATTGATAGAACTACTGGGGCATTCCTGTGGCAGAGTTTCCAGCATCCTAGCAATACATTATTAGAAGGCATGAAACTCAGCACCAATAAAAAAACAGGCAAGAAAATGCTACTGACATCATGGAAAAGCACATCTGATCCATCCTATGGAGGATTTTCTCTCAGTCTTGAACCACATAATGTCACTGAAATGTTCGTGTGGAAAGAAAATCATCCTTACTGGCGGTCTGGTCCTTGGGATGGCACAGCCTTCCTTGGAATACCTTGGATGACTCAATCTATCTTCCAGAATGGTGTTCAGATTAAAGAAGAGGAAGGGATTTATAACATATCTTATGATCAAACAAACAAGGCTATCTTGGTGACTATAATATTAGATTCTCAAGGTATAGTGAAACCAATGATTTGGAATTCCAAGGCAAATATTTGGGAACCTCAAAGGAAAGGCTTTCATTCTGAGTGTGATGTTTATGGCATATGCGGCCCATCCGGGATCTGCAGTAAGCGGGGCTCACCACCAATCTGCAGCTGCTTGAAAGGGTTTGAACCAAAGAACAAAGAAGAATGGGCAAGACGGAACTGGACCAGTGGGTGTATGAGAAGAGAAGCACTTCAGTGTGAGAGAGACAAATATGGTTCTCAAGCTAGCAAACCAGATGGGTATTTTAAGCTGGAAAAGATAAAGCCACCAGATCATGCAGAACTGCTACTTTCTATCTCAGGGGATATTATAGATTGTCAAATTATGTGCCTAAAGAATTGCTCTTGCATAGCTTATGCCTATGAAAGAAGAATTGGTTGTATGGTTTGGAATGAAGATTTACTTGACCTACAAATCTTCCCATTCAGAGGGGTTGATTTGTGCATACGTTTGGCCCACTCAGAGCTAGGTATTGTGCTTTTCCTCCAACATGCGGTAGACACCCAAAAACAAAGCTTCGAACTTAATTCAAGCATCATCTATTTTATCTTTGGACTACTCACGTATCATGTCATGTTAAATATCCGTGTAAACACTGGCACCTCTTAGTTTATTTGCAATTTATATTGCTAGGTTCTTAATTAGAACTATTACATGGGGCCATTTTTCTTTTATGGATACCTGGGAAACTTTATGGTTTTTCTAACCTCTTTTAATGATATACAAGGTATGGTGTTGAATTTATCTCATCAGGATATGAAGATTATCTTAATGTTCTTCCCTTTGACACAGGTATAGACAGGAGGAAAATGACAGCAGCTATTCTAATATCAGTTTTGATAGGAATAGTTCTCATTACTGCCTTTGGATATTTCTTATGGAAAAAAGTGTCAAAGCAAAAAGGTGATTCTTTTTTTCATTGTAAGACCTCATCCAAGAGACCAACGATTTTGTTTCTGATTGTTAAGCACTTGCATGACATAAATATATGAAATATTAGAGCATACAGTAAGAAAAACAAGCAAGTCACTGAAAAAGTAATTCTACACAAAATCTTATGATAATTTTTCAAGGCGGAAATAATTATTGTTGGTTTTTCTTTCTACTTATGTTAATAAATGTTAAATGGATAAATCCTTGTTTGAAAACTCTCTTCGGATTTCTCCCTTTATTTTTACCTCTCTCTCCAATATATAGAAGGAGGGCGGGAATGGGAGACAAACAGACAGAGAGAAACAGAGAGAGCAAATTTTTATTTTTGTAGCACATATGAATTTCATCAATTTCATACAGATTATATGAGTTTCATTATCTTCATATAGATTATATGAGAACATCGTATGGTTAACTCATTTATAGGAACCTGGAACTAGAATAGCAGTATATGTTTTTCAATGAAATCATACGAAAAAATATGGGTAAACAACAGGGGAAATGCATTTGCAAATTCACAACAGCAAGAGGATGAGGAACCTGAAACAAGTCAAAATTCAAGACCTATCATTGTTCGATTTTAGAAAGTTGGCAACTGCAACAAATAACTTTGACATAGCAAATAAACTTGGACAGGGTGGTTTTGGTCCAGTTTACAAGGTGATTTTCATTCTTGTTTTTTCTTTTTTGTTTAAGTTTATCATCTTTCGAAACATAACAATTAGCCTTTTGCAATTATTTCATCGCAGGGAAAGTTTGAAGATGGACAAGAAATTGCAATAAAAAGATTATCTAGGTCATCTGGACAGGGTGTGGAAGAATTTATCAATGAAGTGGAGTTGATTTCTAAGCTTGAACACCAAAACCTAGTCACACTTCTTGGCTGTTGCATTGAAGGGGAAGAAGTGATATTGGTTTATGAATTCATGCCAAACAAAAGTTTGGATGAACATATCTTCGGTCAGTGTATATTTTTGTGCATATGGTGTGGTTTACTAAATAGGATGTTTCTATACTTTCTGAATTTCCTTATTCATTTTTTTCTTAAAATAATTTTTTCTAGATCCACTACAACAAAAATCTTTAGATTGGGGGAAGCGCTGCAACATAATAGAAGGAATAGCTAGAGGATTGCTCTATCTTCACAGAGATTCAAGATTAAGAATCATACATAGGGATTTGAAGGCAAGTAACATCTTATTAGATGAAAAACTGAATCCAAAGATATCAGATTTTGGACTAGCTAAACTTTTTGGAGGAGATGAGGATCAAGCAAACACTAAAAGAATTGTTGGAACATAGTAAGTATTCCTCTTCCTTTGCCCAAGATAATAATATCAGTAACATATTAAAAGCTCAAAGATATATTGTTTAAATGCAGTGGCTACATTTCTCCAGAATATGCAACAGAAGGGCTCTATTCAGAGAAATCTGATGTCTTTAGCTTTGGCATTTTGTTACTAGAGGTTATTACTGGAAGAAAAAACACTAGCTTTTATGAAGATGCAGAGTCTCTCACACTTTTAGGATTCGTAAGCCTCTCCTATTCATACCTTCCTTTCATAAAATAACTCTAGAATGTCTTTGCAAGATGGACAAGACATCAAATTCTAACAGTTATAATTCTTCTTTTGTTAACTCTTTTAGGCATGGAAATTATGGCTTGATGGCAATGTTATACGTTTAATAGATCCAAAAATATATGATGCAAGCTTTGAGAAGGATTTGTTGAGATGCATACATATAGGTCTTCTCTGTGTGCAAGAACTTGCAAAAGATAGGCCCACTATGGCCTCTGTGATGTCAATGCTCCAAAGTGATATTGTGGATATTTCTCCTCCAAGCCAACCTGCATTCATCCTCAGGCAAACCATGTCTTGTACTGCAGAGCAAACTCCAAATAATGATGCCTTATGTTCCATCAATAATGTAACCATCTCAAAGTTTGAGGGGAGATAGATAGGAATTTTTATGTTTCCGATTCATTTGAAAGATCTAAAATATATTTGGCATATATTTTGCAGATATTCCACTGGGTAGGTATAAGCCTTGTTTCTAGTTAAAAAAATTCCTGCCTTGCAATCCTAAATATTTAATATGTTCACTCCATTTAATGCATATTTATGTGCCATGTTCTACCACCTGCTCGTCTTGACAAGAACTGTGCCAAGTTCTATCCCCTGCTCATCTTGACAAGAGCGTAAAACATATTGGAAGAAATAAGAGAAGAAAGAAACAACACAACTTCAATTGTGCTGATATAAGCTCGGAAGAGGTGGTTCTGTGGTTTTGTACACAAGGTAACTTAATCATGTGAAGCTCAAATTCTTTTCAATTAATATCTATGAAGTAATTGCTTTTTGATAGCATATTCTCATAGGAAAAACTACAAGATGGACAAGAAATTGCGGTGAAGAGGCTCTTAAGAGCATCTTAACAAGGGCTAGTCGGATTTATGACTGAGGTGGTTATTATTTCAAAGCTGCTAACACTGTAACTTACACTCTAGCTATTGTATTGAAGAAGAGAAAAAGATGTTGATCTATGGGTACATGCCTAAAAAGAGTTTAGTGGCATCATATTCAAGGATTTAGAGTAGATTATATATTTTCTTTTCCTATGTGCAACATTTTTTATACGTTTAAATAAAATAATCTAATGTTGAAATCTACTGAATTTCTTTTTATCAGAGAGATTAAATGAATTTCACTTCAATTTTCAATTTAAGACTATTCATGCAATATTTTTCTGCCTTTAGACTCAGCAAGTATTCACACCTTTGTTTTTTATTTTTTGCCTAGTTACTTTATGAAATTTTTTTCTTAATTTGATGTTCATTCGTGCATGTACAATTTGGTATATATATCTTTCTTCTTTCTAAGAAACCTAACCACCTAATTTTTATATTGATTATTTTATATTATATATTCGGAAAAAAATTTAAAAAATCTCTAAAATTTTCTTCCAGTTTTGCTTTGTCTTAAAAATGATCCGTTCTCATACAATTTTAAGGGTTTTAAAAGGTCATCAATTTTTACCAATATAAGTAATAAATCAGGCTGTTGTTTTTATATTATCATTCACAAGGAGATTTTTTTTTAACAAGATCATTCGTATGTGATATATAAAATACAGATGTGACTTCTTGCATGCCACTATTTTTCTTATTTCCAAATATTTTTTATATATTTGTTTGTTGCTTTGATGTCACTAACCATTTTTTAAGGTATTCTCTCTTATTAAACTAAAACAATAAAAATGAAAGTGTCATTAAATAAGAATTATTACATTATTTCAAGTAACAAAATTTATTCTCATCACTAACATATATTTTGGGATTATTCTATTACCTATATACTACAATGATAATAAAAGACATGTCTTGCCGTGATTATGAATCGCTAGGGTGATTTTCTTTCTTTTTCATTGCATCGACTTCTTTTCGGACAACTTAATGTGTGAAAAGTCAATACTGTCACATCCAGTAATATGACATTTAGGGAATAGGAATATTTCTAAATAATTAAGGGTAAAAAATGACAAGAAAAAATAGAAGAATTTTGGTGGACAATAATTATTATGATTTTCCAAGCCAATTATGAAAAATTTTAACTAATTAAGAAAAATTGGTCAAGAATAATTATAGAAAAAATAATTTCGAGTCTCAAAAAAATTAAGAAAAAATAAGGATAACATTCCTTGAGAATTATATGGGATTATAAAATTATTTTTATGACCAATTTGCCCTTAGAAAAATTACAAGGTAATTTAAGGGCAATTTAAGCTAGTTTAAGGTCTTTATTTGGAAAATTCCAAATAAATATATTTAAGAAGAATAAAATCCCAAGAAAATTTCTATGATATCCCAAGGAATTATAAGAGATTATGGAATTAAGAGAAGACCCTCAAGTATCCAGAATTTTTCCCAATTCTTCTGAAAAGTGGAAAAATCACTAAAGAGAAGGAAAATAGTTTTCCTTTTTATTTAATTATTGGGAAATTAAATTTGAGACAAAGAGGGCAATTTGGGAAGATAAAAATAAGGAGAATGATTTATGGATCTGAGAGAAAATAATTACAGAGACCAGAGCACTGTAATTATAGAAAAGAAGTTAAACCCGGAGTAAAAGTGCACCGATAAAGTGTTAATCAGAGTCTTGCACTTTACTTGGCTCACAAGTCGCCACTTGTCAAGCCTTTAATGGATAGTAATTAAAGCTTTCCAAGTGTCAAGCTACTAATGGAGAGGATCTTGATTTTGGAATTTAATTACATTATGATTTAAGTTAATTAAGAGATAGGTTTAAGACTAATTAGGCACTTGACACTTGGCTCCTCATTAATGATGGTTAGTGGGATATTTTGGTGCATTGAATGAGCTTCTCCTCCCCCTAATCTGACCCATATTTCGTGCAAGGCATGAAGAGAGGGAAAAAGAGAGTGTTCAAAGGAAAACCAAGAGAAAGGCATCAACTTTGGTCATTCAATCAAGGATTCAAGGTGAGTTCTTAGTTCTAGATGTGTTCTTGCCTTGTTTTCCTTCTCTTTTATGGTTGAAAAATCTGTTCCCTCTCTCTCTAATGGTTGGCCGAACTGAATAATAAAAGGGGAAGGGAGTTTGGTTGTTAGATCTTGCTAAGACACAACAACACAAGTTAGATCCTAGTGTTTGCAAGTGATTATAGTTGGTTTTGAAGCATTTTTCATGGTTATTTCCTTGAGTGTTATTTTCGGCCAAAGCTAGATCTGAACCCTAGGATGAGTTTTTCAAAGTTTTGAGGCTTCCATTGTGTTCAAAATGAAAAATGGTGTAGGGTAAACCTAGAGAACAAGTGTTGGAAGCCATAGAATCAAAGTTGAAATTTTTGGATAAGGAACCCTAATGGTTCGGCGAAGCTGAAACTGAAAGGGGAAAATTTATTTTGTTAAATCCAAGTAGATATTTGGAATTTACATGAAAAAGCATGTAGGAAAAGGTAAAGAGGAAATTTTTAGGGTTTATGGAAACAACTCAAGAACAAAGATAGGGGCTTTAAGGGGATTTAGGAATCACTTGAATTATGTTATTGATTTTATATGGAATGGTTGATGATTCTTGCTGCCCTTTTTGTAGATTGACATGTTAGGGTTTGAAATTTGTGGAAGCAAGAAAGAAGAACAAGAAAATCAAAGAGCATTGGATTAAGGTGGTAAGATTTAATTGACCTTAATGTTAAATGTTGCATTGATTGCTATGCAATTTCATATGCTATTATGTGGTTGAACTAAATGATGAGGATGATGATGATTGTGTAGCTATACTCCTTGCTTTATGTGCCTTGGCTATTGCATGTTAGAGTGCTACACGTATGAGGTAAAGTAGTTCCCTATTAATAGCAAAAAGTTGGAATGCTTGTAATTGATGCATGTTAATGTTTTGGTTGATTGATCTTGCTACTGGGATTTTCAAAAATCTCATCCCCCAAATATAATGTAACATTTTAGGGCCTGAAATTCTCAAGGGCAAGCTACAGATTGGAGGCTAAATTATGGTGATATACCATAAAAATTCGTGGACATTTGATTATGTATAAACTCCATGGTTGGTGCTATAATCCCTAAGTAGGATGTTAGTTTAGAGCCACGGTTTATTTAGTTACCAAATGAATTTCCACATGAAATTTGGTATGGTTATAGTTGACGTCATTAGCTTCAAATTGATAGGTAGAACGTTAAAAATGGCCAAGTATACGATTTTTAATGATTTTTCAAAGTTAAAGTTCAGAATCTGGAAAAAAGGGTTTTTGGCAAATGGATAGTGTTACCTTTCACAAAAACCTGACACTTTTTCATAAGGAATTGGATCATGAGAGCATTTCTTCTTGAAAGAGGACTTAAAGAACTTTAAATAGAATTTTGAACCACCCCAATTGGATTTTTATAGAATAAGTTATGAATTTTTGAAGTTGGACCAGAAAATTGGATTTTTACCCGATAAACAGTGAAAATCCGAAAATTAGCGTTTTTCAAAGATTTTTTAGCCAAAGACCATCCAATGTGGTCTAAAATGGTTTTGATTAAACCCTAAGTGGATCCGATAGTAAGGTGTAACAAATACCATATACCTACATTTTTTAGGAGAATGGATGAATTTTTTTTTAAAAAAAGAGAAAAAGTAACTTCATAATTAACATTACTCATACAGATTTATTTTTCACAGTTAATATGTCACATCCTGATAATTTTAACCCTGGTAATGGGGGATATAAAATAGATCAAGGGTTAGGTAGTGTAGTAGATATAGAGACAGAACAACTTGTTAACTGAAACTCGGGCAGAGATTAGACTATCATTTTCAAAATATCCAGTCAAGAAAAGACAAACTGGAAAATTATAACCAAAATTTCTAAAAAATTTTCAAAAATCATGAAAAATAGAACAGATTGTTTAGAACAGTAATTGGGGGGCCAGAGGTGTTAACAGAGTGAAGATAAATTATTATAGAATTTTCTATACTTAGGGTATTTTCAGCTAAATAGTATAAAGTTAGGCAAAATTAATTATTTAAAATATACAAAAGCCTCAATAATTTTGGAAAAAAAATGAAAAACTTATTTGGAGGATTATTGTAGATTATAAAATTGTTTCCAACCTCAGAATGCAAAGAGGTTGGCTTTAACAATATTTTAAGCTGAATTTTTGTCAGTAGAACATCGATTTTAGATAAACTTGAATTTAAAAAGTTGTAGGGTGAAATTAAATCTAAGAAAAATCATGAAACTTTCCTACAACAAAAAGGAGTTATCAACACACATGGATAAATTTTTGGAGACACTAGATTGGATAGGATGCAGGAAAAATTCATCCAAAACAATGGGATTACTCAGTGGAATGTTGTGAAGCTTTGTGGGACAATTTTCCTCTTATCTTCTGCTGTAATATGATGCCATTTTTTATGCCCAGGACATGGAGGGAATTGTGTGAATTATTTGTTGGAAGATTATTAAAATATTAAGCTAAATCACATGATTAAAAACCCTCTTGCACACATGGTATCATTAGGTTGAAAGAGGAATTAAATAATCCAAATTGGTAACATGGAAGAAACCCCTAGGACACTTGGCTTCATCAAGGTGAAGATGGCATGAGTTTAGGACATGTGGATTTGGGAATAACACATTTTCCCAAGGGCAAAATGTGTAAAGTAGTGGCAAAAAAATTAGTCTATAAATACCCTCAAATTTCCTTCATCTTTTGTTCAAAGAGAGACTTTAGAGGGAGAAGGTTTTGCTTTCAAATTCTAAGAGAGAGAAAGGAAGAAA